TTCAGCTGCCCTCACTGCTGCAGTGCATCAGCACTTCCAGCAGTAGATTCAGTGATACAATTAACAACTGTCAGAAGTTGTTTTGCCTTTCTCTCTCCCTCCTGCCAAAAGGCCTATTCATGTGCACTGCAGTGTTTTGTTCTGGCCGGAGTTCCTTTAATGGAGCTCCGAGTTATTGTTGGAGGTGGAAATGTCAAAGTAGTACACCTTGTTCTCAAAAGCTAGGGGCAGACATTACACATAAATGGATTTAAGTGATCAGAAACTGGTTAAAACCTGTAACAGAACATAAGTTAAGTGCACATAAACCAGTTTCAAATGGCTGAAATTGGTTTAAGATGGTTACTATGAAACTGGTTGAATGTAGTATCAGACTTAATTAATTTGGGTCAAACTGGTTTCTGCAATGTCTGTCCCAGACTCCTTCCTGGTTTAAGTTAAACCAGAATCCCTCAACATCCCAGATGCTTTGCAGCCCTAGGCTGGGCTGGGCTGGGCTGTCTGCTCCAGAGAACAGGGCTGTTCCCTCCCCTCTGCTCCCTGGCTGGAGATCTGACGGAGACTGCAGGCACAGCGGGGACTTCCTGGCTTCTCCCTGCCCCACCACACCTTGCTACTCAAGCAGGGATTCTCCCCTCCCCTCCTTCCCATCTCCCACAGCATGGACCCCATCTCCCACAGTCCCTAGGCATGTGGTATGCTAGCTAATGCTGTCTGTGTGTGCATGTGCATGTGTGTGTCTCCAATTTCACTGGCACAGGCAGGCAGAACAGTGTCTGCTTAGAGGCTTTTTGGAGCTAATTAACAGGTCAGCTGGTAATGTCCCTCCATTCCTTCCTTGGAAAAAGCTGTTTAACAAGAGCATGAACTAATGAGAGAGGCATTTGTTTCATTGATGGGCTGATAAAGTCTGTGTTATCAGCACCCTGCTGGATCCCTTGCCTGTCAAGTTTGCAGACAGTATGAAGAAGCAGGGAGAGGGAGATTCGAAAGCTCAGTGTCATCAATAGGTGCATGCACTACACACACCTGCTTTGCCTCAGAGTACTAGCCAGGAGCTGGGGTCCGGCAACACTACTTCCCTTTGAGCAGCAAGTGGGGAAAAGCCCTGTGCAGACAGGCTAGGGGTTTTAATCCCTCCCTAATCAGAGCATCTTGTCAGAGGCTGGCCATGCCCCACCTCAGCTCAGCACTGAAGAGGGATGGCTACTTTAGCATCCCCCGGCTTCTAGCCTGAACCACCACAGACATGTGCCTGCAATTCATCAGTCCAGAGGGAAGGTCTGTGCAGTTGCAAACTGATTCAGCCTAGGCAGGTTAGACTAACCTGCAAAGATTGGGTCAATTCAGGCTTGGGCTTTTTGAATGTCTGTCTGTAACTAGAGTGAAAAGCAGTTCATTACTCAACCTTGAACCAGCCCAAAGAGGCCCTGTCTCCTGCACAAATAAGCTTAACTCTTACAGTGAATAGTTGTTTCCAAAGCAGTGGATTTGTCAAACATTATCTTCTTCCTGGACCTTTAAATATACTAAGACCTATCCAGTAAGATAAAACAGGTCAAGACAAAGGGAAGATGAAAGACAGGTAACAAAAAATTAATACTCCCTCCCCATTAATCTTCATTCCTCATCACCAGCTTGCCTGGGAAATACCAGGGGCACTGATTTCTGCCTGATGAACAGGTATAGGGTTTATATATTGAATGAAGTGATAAAATGTAATGGGGGTTGTACTATTTTGTTCCCTGTCAACATCATGCTCAAAAGATAGGCTTTCACTCATTATTTGTGGATTGCTACTTTACAATTATATCTTAATTGACTTGATAACTAAGTTGAACACTTAATATTACAGTATCATTAGCACATTTATTCTTCATCTAAATCATACAATTACAGCAATTAAATTGGTTGCCTTTTAAACACTTGGTTCACTGATCTTTAATTAGACTTCTATGAACTGAATTACATGGGAAAGGTGCTAAGTGCTTCAATTGTAGTGAGGGAGTTTAGTTGCCACATCACATGGGGAAGATTTAGATAAATGTGATACATGATTACAGAATGCCATCCTCATGATAATTTTTGGTTACCTAATGTTTTGGAGATATTGCTTATCAAATAAATCTGTGGCATGTTTAAACCCAGTGTAGGCTGCGCATGAAAACTATACAAGATTAAATTAGTTCTGACCCAAACCATAGCTTATTGTATTTTTATTTGGGACCCAATTTTGCAAGCTGTTTTTTGTATTTAGACACTAACATCCACAAGGAGGATGGCAGAATCAGGATCTAATAATCTAGTTCTAATTCAGCTGAAAGCAATGAAAATTTGTCCTTTGCCTGCAGGGAATCCTGTAGGACCCCAAAGATTTTATCTACTTTGGGCTGAGCACACAAAGGCATGCCCTACTGTAAAACATGCCCCACTCGTTTATGCCTGCTCCTTTCATGCCAAATCCCAGAAATTGAGCAATGCACCTGCCACAGACGAGGGGTGGTCAACCTGCGGTACATGTGCCACAAATTGCACCGGCAACCTCTGTTTGCTGCACACAGCAGATCAGGAATGGGGCAGGAAACAAAGCAGCATATGAGGCAGGAAACAGGAAAATAGAGCAGGAAATTGGTCAGGGAGTACAGGATAGGATACAGAAAGCAGAGCAGCAGATATGGCAGGGAAGGGGATTGGAGTGGTACTCATGACTAGTATGGGTTTAATTTGTGGTGCACTTGCAAAAAGGCTGGCCTCCACTGGCCTAGGGCTAACCTGAGACAAGTTGTGGGCAGCAAAGTCACCTCATTTTGGGAATTTGCTGCATGCTGAACAAGAGTGAGTTATAGGGTCTACTTCACAGAAGCACTTACAGCCTTGATAGTAGAGAGGAACCTCATTGGCACTCAAAGTGCCTCACCAGTCCAGGCTGACTTGCAGCAGCAATCCAAAAACACCAGTCCTTGGAGCACTTCTACGTTAGGTCAGAACTTCTTTTGAGGAAGGATGGATGGAGAAGCAGGAGGTTCAAGAGTGGAGGTCCTTGTCTGGTGCTCTGGAGACTGTGATTCAGAAGGAATCTATTCTGCCTCAAATTTCCAAGGTGCAAGGAAATCAAGTTATTTAAAGGTGTGTTAGTTGTGAAGGATGCAAACAGGCCCCTAATGGGATTTTACCAAATGCCTAGGCACTAACTCCTGTTGGTTTCACTAGAGGTGTAACTCAGCAGCTCCATACCTTGGGATACTTGCCTTCTGTGCCTCTATTGTCAGTTTATGAAATGGGAATAAGACTGCCCAAGGATATGAGAATAAATACATTAAAAAATATGAGGTGCTCAGATGCTGTGGTGATGTGTTTCACAGAACCACCATAGTTAGACACTCTGCTTTTCCATGGGAGATATTTCAAAGTAATTAGTTCAGAATTCTGCTTCTGGATGCATTCACAGATTCCTTTGTCCATATTAGCTGTGCATCCAATTTAGTTCTTAAGTGATAAACAGCTGCAATGTGTGAGGATGAATATTAAAACAGAATCACTCATTTTCTGTGTGTAGCTTCACATATGCTGAAATGGGAGGAAAGGAGCTGTAATTCAGGGCTAGGAAAAAATTAGCCCAACTCTTGGGAGAACTACCTCACTACAGACTCCTTGGACAAGTCACTTATGCATAGATTCCCACTGAGACAAACTCTGCTGCAGTAGGCGCCTGGATATTAATCTCTCCCCATGCAGGTATATGAAACTTAGGCAGAGAATTGAAACAGGTAGCACAGTGAGCAGGGAACCACTTAAACTAGCTAAATGAATGCTGCAAGGAAGGACATCTTAAATCCTGCCCTTCTGTGACTTAATGAGCCTTTATCTGAGGTGCAAAGGTGTCTAATTCTACCTGCAACTTGGAATCCTGAGTCTTCTCATGGGTTAAAGTATCTAATTTGATTTTTTTTTTTTTTTTTTTTAAATCAGAGCACAGCCAAAAGAGATGTTGCTGATGCTTCCCTTTGTATACAGGAGCTGAGTGGTTAGAGCACCTGCCCAGAATGTGGGAGACCCAGATTCAGTTTCAACCCCGCCTGAGGGCAGTCAAGTCCACGTCTTCCTCCAACCCTGAGAGTGCCTTAAGTGGCTCAAAACCACTACTCCTTCTTCCTTTGGGGTTTTCAACTGAAGCATCTGCTAGCCTGCTGCTGAGAAGTGTGCAGAGTCCAATTTAGCTCCGATCATACCTACTAGATCAAACCGAAAGCAACATACGTAGTTATGGAGATTGGAGATAAACTATTCTCTGTAGCCCAAAGGGACAAGATTAGGAGCAACACTCTCAAACTGCAGGGGAGGACATTTAGGCTGGATATTAGGAAGAATGAGAGTGATTAAGCATTGGAACAGGCTACCTAGAGAGGGTGTGGAATCTCCATCCTTGGAAATTTGCCAGAAAAGATAAGACAGACACTTGACGGAGAGTTTAGACAGGGTTGATCCTGTCTTGATCAGGGGCTTGGACTAAATGACCTCATGAAGTCCCTTCCTACCCTACTTTTCTATGATTCCACTTAAGCTCCTGCCTGAGCTTTAGTGAGACATGGGAACAAACTTGCTCAGCCCCAACAAGACTAGGTATATGCAGAAGCAGAATTTATGAACCTAGAGGAATTTGCTAGTGAAAATATAGGTGCCACAGGGGTTATACGATGTTTAAAGGCCCACAGTCTTGCACTCCTAGTGGAATTTAGAGACCCATCAACCTTTTCCTTTTGTAGATTCCTCTGCTTCACTTCACTGTCTGTAAACTGGAAAAAAAGTTTCATGGGTACAGGCAGAACATAACCCCTTCTCTTTTCAGAGTTCACCCTATATAACCTGGTTTTAGATATTACATATCACAACTTCACATCTCGCATTCTACCCAATTAAGCCTTGGTGTAGCAGGAACTTGGTTCCACTTACCAGATGAAGGAAACCTACCGCTAAAAAAATTACAGTACTTACCCATGATCAGAAGGCTGTTGGTATCATACTCAGCAGTTAGGGGTTCTTAATTTCTAGTCTTGCTGTTTACACATATTTGCACTCTGATCAATGACCATGTAGGTTAAGACATGCTGAAACATCCCCATTTAAATTGTTTGACAAGGTGATTTTTTTTTCACAAAAGACAATATTCTAGTCCACCAATCAGGCATGAAAGTGGACTGAGGTGCACCGAAGTCTGATTTTGTTCCATCTTGTTTGAGTCCCTGAAAAACAGTTAATGCAAAAGGTAGTTGGGCACTTCTCCTCATTGCTGTTATGTGATTGAATCTTAAGGGTAAGATGATGGTGCGTTACAAAAGTAGAGGCAATCGTAAGTTTTCAGAAGTGAACTAAAGGGAACAGAATCACCCTAAGGTGCCTAAGTTTATGTATATACCTAACAGGTAGAAGAGAAACTGGCCTCAGTGTCTGTTTTCTATGGAAAAATTAACTTAGAAAATATTTGGAGGGGGTGGGGGGGCTGGATTCAAGAGAATTTTGATTAATTATAAAGAGCCACAAATATTCTATATAATCTCAGAAAAAAAATCACTTAATCTTTGTCTCCCCTCCCCATCTGTAAATTAGGGATAATACTTCCTTACTCAAGTGGGTAGAGAAGGAGGATAAAATCCATTAATGACTGTGAAGTGCTCAGGTATTATGGTGATGAGGATCATACAAGTACTTAGTGAGATGTCATATTCTGCCTGTGCTCATTTAATACAGCCATTAATGATCTGAAGAAGTCCATGATGAATTTCAAGCAATGAATAGAACTAACAGTAGTTAATTTCAGAAAAGCTTTGATAGGATTCTCAAATTGCAGACTCAAGTTGAAAGTATTAAATCTTTTAACTGGGGAGTTAATTAGAAGTGATGCAATAATAGGTAGGAAATTTGATGGGCAAAATCCTTATATGAAGTCTAGTGACAAAGATCCTTGGAACTGGGTTAGTCTTGCTAATATTGAGGTACAAGAAAAATATACCTTATTAAATTCCGAGATTTAACTATCCAGAAGCGCAGTAAACAATTCACAGCCCGGGGAAGGTACACAATGAGGATCACTGCTCTCCAGAATCTTCATAGTGTTGTATCTTCGAGATCAGAGGTTCTCAAACTGTGATCCATGGACCACCACTGGTCCACGAGCTCCATTCAGGTGGTCCGCAGAAAGGCTGCAGAACAATCAAGAATATCTGTACTTGTAAGGTAAGACTACTGATATTAAAATATGAATTGTGTGCTTTGATTTGCAGAACAAAACAAAGTTTATTAAGTAGTCCGCCAAGACCCTCAGCAATTTTCAAATGGTCTACAAAAAAAAAAAAAAAAGTAGTGTGACAACCACTGTACTAGATCCATCTCTAACACATCTTTCCATCATGGCTTTGCCCATTATGCCAGGGCTTTCAACAGGATCCTCAAAAAGAAGATTTATGGCTGTCTTTTGCAGTGCTTGGAGTAAGGAGCACTTCTTTAACAGTGTAAGGGGATTTTGGTCCTCCTTATTCTGCTCAAATCTCTAACATGGTTTAAAGGAAAAAATAGCATTTCCCTATTAAATCTTTGCTTAACATTACTGCTATGGATTTCTATAAGACTTTTTAATCTTGAACAATTTAGTTTCACTACAGTGAATATGTTCAAGTAATAGAAAATAAGGTTTTAAGGAACTTCAAGAAGTCATCTATTCCATTCCTACATGTTCACCCATGCATTTATTTAAGAATATGCTTGATCAAGGCCTTAATGATATATCTATATTCCAGTACCTAGAGTAAGTTTTTTACAAGTCAATTGTGTACATTTAAAAACAATTAAGGTTTAAAAAAAAATTAAAGAAAGTTACTCAAGCATGAAGAGGGTTTTCTTTTTTTTCTTAGTAACAGTTTTATGGACTTTATGCTTCTGTTTTTGGCAAAAAGTTTAATTTAAAATGTACTTCACCTTTTTCCAAGCAAGATAATTAACATTTTCACAATTGAACAAAAAGGAAGAGTCACTAGCTAGCTTAAGGAAATCAAATTTCTAAAAAAAAAAAAATCAGGCGGTGCCTAGCCACAGATCTAAATACTTCCCAAAATTTAAACAGGTTATTAGTTCAATATAGAAAAGCAATTGCCACAGATTTTCAGTCATATCTTCAGAGAGATACATTACATAATATTCCACAACATACTGATCATTTCAATTGGGTGATATGCATTTTCAAAGATTTCGTGAGGTGCCCAATAGCCCAATGAGAAAGGGCCGGGGGGTACTCAGAGCACCAGCCCCAAGCACCATCTAGAGAGGGTGCCAGACTCGCCCCCGCCCCGCCTCAGGACTCTTTGCCATGGCAAAAGTAGCACCGTGCTGCCTGGCCATTAGGGCCAGGCAGGTGCAGTCACTCACCCAGTGGTATATCTGGGGTTGAGGGGATAAACCCCCCTAGGGAGTCTTTGCTATGGTAGGTGCAACCCTGCATTAGGTGATATGCAGTGGAACTGTCCCCCAGCAGCAGCAGCAAGATCCCATGTAGCTACAGCAGCAGCTACAGGAGTAGCAGCTGCAACTTAAATGCGGAGACCAGGGACTGGTAAGACTGTTTCCCTGCCTTCCTGCCAACCTCCCACCTCCATTCGCCTGAATATTCCCCCCAACCCCACCACCAGTGCTAAGCACTGAAGGAGCCTGCTCTGCTTCTGCCAGTGCCTATTTCATCTTTTGCAATTAAGAAGCCCTTAAAAACCTAGCTCCAGATGACTGGAGAGTGATTTGTCCATGCTGAAATGTTTGCAATCTCTTGCCCCTAAACTGCTTCCTTTCCCAAAGGTCTTTCTTACACACAGGGGCTTACTTTCCATTATACTCAGTGGCTGTGCATTGAAATGAACTGCATTCACAACATGCAATTCTTAGGGCATAATATGTGGAGAGTGAATTCACATTCCATTTGAAAGGGTAATATGTTTACTGCATAATAAATTAATACTCATTAGTGTTTGTATGGGTGCCTCTGTACTGTGTGATTTCTGGGTAGTCCTCCAGCAGTTATCCCACGCTGCTTTGCATCCCACTAGGACCAACCATTTTTTTTTTACCTTTGAGCTCTCCATTCTGATGTTGACTAGATATCACTTTTCTGCTTAAATACTGCCACACAACCAAGACTGGTCTATTTGTGGTTGCATGCTCCTGATGGTGAACAAAATATAAGTACTTTGCAGGGCCTCCGAGGTCATCCATTCTAACCCAGCACATATCAGAGAAACAAAGTACCATATGGGGGTGTGACACGGGGCTCTAGCTCTCTAACTCACTCGGGCTCAAGGTCCTCTGTTCCATGCTCTCTGCAGCACCAGGCCTACTGGCCCTTCTACACTGTGCGCCCCTGTGGTGCCAGACTCTTGGGGCCTCAGCCCCCTTCAGCTTTGCCCTTCTTTCTGTAGTTAGGGTCTTTCACCTAGGTCCGCCCACTAGGACCTGGCTTCACAGTTCCTATCTCCCCTTCAAGTGACTTTGGGCTCATGGCCCTAGTACAGCACCCCTAATACAGTAGGAATTCTTGAGCCCTCTATCACAGTGCCCTTTGGCACTAACGAGGCCTCTTCCACCCCTACAGCCTCAGCCACAAACCACTGGCATTTTTAACATCAAATGTAAACCATAGGCTTCTATGGCCATATAATGAAAATAATAATAAAGGAATAACAGAGGCAAAGTGCCCACTTACTTTATGTGATCGTGTGTCTGTCTCACAGCGTGGCATGTTCTTCCCAAAGAGACTGCTGCAGCTGCACCATCATCATCAAGAGTCCCCTGCTCTGCTGCCTCTCTGGCCTTCTCCAGTTGCAGTTTATATGGTTCTGGCCTTCCCCTTCTTGTCACCTGACCAGTGTGCAGGGCTCGATCCTTAACCCCTACTTGACTAGCCAGCCATGCCCGGAAGGCTCTGGATTTAAAGGGACCGCCCTGTTTCTTGGTAACAGGGCTAGGGTTCCCTGTTACAGGGGGGCACAGAGGATGGGACCTACAATGTGTCACAGAAAAAGCTGGGGAGACGAGGACTCCATGAATGTCCTGCCACTGCAACTGGAGGAAAACCCTCTATCGCCAAATTGGAACAAAAGGAGCAGGGCCTTGGGAAAAAAAGAGCACATCTGTCACTTTTCAAGAGAACCTCTGTATTAGAAAGCTAAACATAAGTTTAACTAGCATTCAGCTCAGGCAATGGAAATGCACAAACATACTGTTTCCTATGATGATAAATGTAGGCCAGACCCCAGGATTTCTGAGCTCTTGTTAGCTGTTTCCCCAGCAACTCAGGCCCATCATTCCCCAAACTTCCCAGGTTTACAACCACAGATATACAAACATTAATGATATGCATTTTTCTACACTTTGATTGGATATATTCAAATTTGTTTCACTGATGTTGGTTATAGCCATGTTGGTCTATGGACATAGGCAGACAAAGTTCTCCAGGTAAATGTGATATCTTTTATTAGACCAACTAAATAGTTGGAACAATTGTTCTTTGTAAGCTTTCAAACACACTTCTTCAGGTGTGGCAGGCTTCCCAGTGGCAGCCCATCTTGCCAGTTTGAGCCAGAAGGCTCAGATTGATTGGTGGGGGCATTCCCCTTCCCCACCAATCAGGAGGAGATGGGAGAGAGGCTTTCCCTGCCCTGACCTAGGGGCAAGGTGAAGAAGAGGACTTGAGGGGGAACTAATCCCTCAGGCTTTCCTATTGGTCCACTCCCAGTTTGGGGGTGGAATAAAAAGCCAGTGTGCCCAGCACATGGGGAGCTTTTGTTGAGGGACGATGATGAGAAGATGTGACAAAGGCACCTTCCAGGCCTGATACTAGTATGGCCCCGCCCTTGTCTCTGGGCAAATTGACCACCTTTCTCCCTTGCCACACCTTGTTGGTAAATAATTATGATGTCAAATAGGCAGGTGGCTGCCCTTCATGAGCCCAAATGACCATGGGCAATCAGTACATGCTCCTACCATCCCTACATGTATCCCATGCCTCGCTGATGTCATGCTGTAAACATAAACAGCTCCTGTTTACAGGCAGGTTGAACATAGCCCCTTGTAAGGCCACTCACATACTTCCCTACTTGGGCCTCTCCCTTACTGCCTCCCTCTCACAAGGGCCCCTCACACTCTGCCCCCCTCTCCCAAGGGCCTCTTACATGCTGCCTATCCTGGCCACAGTCCCACCGCCCTACTCTAGAAAGATCCTCAGGCTTGTTGACTCATACTTCAGCCAGCCCTGGCCCAGCCTTTTGGGTCCACTTTGACCCTCATCTGGGTAGTGACTGCTGACCCCACTCTGGGCTCTCTCAGGCCTAGCCCCTCACTGAGCCACAACTCTGCCCCCTTTATACTAGGGCCTGTGGTCTTCCACCCCTTAGGGCCCAGCCACTATTCCCTGAGCTTAACTGGCCCCACAGCTCTGCCCTGCAACTCTCAGAGTCCGGGCTTTTGTCTTACACCCCCTTGGGCTCAGGTGCTGCTCCTTCAGTGTGCCTGGCCCCCACTCCAGGGCCCAATACCCCATGGGACTCAGGCACTTCTCACTAAGCTTATCTGGCCCCACCTCTCTCCTTATCACTCACCCAAAGGTGGGGGCAAGGATTTAGGCACCCTGACCTGCTTTATACCGCAGAGGTTCTCGGTTCTGATATTTGAATGGCCCTGCCCTACCACAGGCAGGACCATGAGGCCTCCCTATCCCAGCAGGGTGCAGTTTTAGGTCATGCCCAGGACCATTGAGGTCTCCTCCTTCCCCATAGCCTCACCATAACCTCTGAGATATTCCTGGAACAGGAGCTCTGCCAGATAATGTTGCTCCTAGCTGGCTGATCTCAAAATGCTCTGCTCTTATAACAAAGCTCTCCCAAAATGGCCACTCTCATTAGCCACCTTGCAGCTCCTTGCTCCAGTCCTTAAAGTGACAAACACCCTAAAGGGTATTCTGTCACACAAGGGCTGTAGAAGATCCAGTGAAGCTGACTAGCAGGGGTGGAGCAGTTGCCCCAGAAGTGCCCTAAAGATGCCTCCAATGGGGAGAAGCGGCTGCATCCCAGCTGCCATGAGAAGAGCATGGTGACAGTGTATGGGTCGGTGCATGGAGTGTCTGGAGGTCAGACAGGACCTCGGTGGCTGTGCAGGTCAGTGTGAGTCCCCATCCCTGCATGAGGCAGGAGCCCTTGGTGCATGGATTGGTGCACAGGGTCTGCAGAGATTAAGGGACCCAGCGGCTGCACAAGGTGGTGTGGGTCTCCAACCATGTACTAGGCAGGAGCTGAGGCCCTTTCAGTGCACTCACTAGCAACTCAGATACACACACATTCAAAATAACCAGTCTAGGTTCATGCACACCTATCGCCAGTTTAAGCCCATACACGCTACACACACCACATTTAGACAGAATCAGTTACCAGTTACCAACGCCTGCACATCCAATACACATACATGGATTACTAACTCATATACCACACACACACAATGATATCTATATATGTGTATTCACTAATTCACACACATACCGCCCACCTACACATACACACAGGTGAGTTTCTAAGTTGGGTGTTGTGATGTGTATGTATGCGTGTGCTTGGTGTACTTGGGATACCTGGGGAAAGGTTAAGGTAAGAAAGTAGAAGTGTAGGGAGTTAAAGTTACCAGGACCAGGATTGGAACCGGTAGACTATGGGGGCCTGGGCTGAAGAACTGAGGCTTGGGGTAACTTTAGGTTAATTGATTTTAACTGATTAAAAGACAACCCTGAAAAACTGCAGAACAGGGAAGCATGCCAGCACAGAGTCTGGGCCTGGAGCCAGAGCTACGGGGAAGCTGAAAAGGTAGGTGCTGGAGAGGGAAAGTGGGACTAAGGGAAAGTATGGGTGTTAAAGAGAGGCTCTGTGTGTGGGGGAGCCAGAGGATGGCTCTGTGTGGGGGAGCCAGAGGATGGCTCTGGGGCAGCTAGAGAAGTCTGGGAAGCTGGGGGGTGGGGGAGGGAAGCCTGAAACCAGAGAGAGAGACAGCAAAAAATCACAGAAAAAGCAGCAGGAGAGACTGAAAGGTAGCAGGGCAGCAGGAAAGCAGAGAAAGGTGCAGAAAGTCACAGGGAAAAGGCAGTAGGAGCGTGGGAAGCAGGGGGACAGCAGAAAATCACAGGAAAAGCGACAGAAGAGACAGAGGCAACAGGGGCAGAGGGAAAGCAGAGAAAGACAGCAGAAAGTCACAGGGAAAAGGCAGTAGGAATTTAGAGGAGATTGGGAAACTAGTGGAGAGGGGTGGGGGCTGGAATTGAGAGAATGAGGATGGAATTTAAGATAGGAAAGGGACTGGGATTCAGTAAAACATGACCATTCTGCAGTTTAACAATATACAACACCCCCACTTAACCCTGTTTCGCTTAGCTCTATTTCGCTGCAGTTCTCATTTCACATCAATCCCCGATTTCACTTAGCACTCAGTGAGTTTTGCTGTAACGATCATGGGTACTGAGCAAGGAGTATCGGCAGTGCACAGCCTCGGTGCCATCTTGCTTCATCAAAAACTTTCATGCTCTGTGCTCTTTCATGCTCTTTTGTGCTTGTGTCACTGTCTTGCTTCATCTTTTGAGCTCCGTGTTGAAATCAGTCATCAGGAGTCAGAAACATGCAAGTGACTCTGAGACTGCAAGTGCTGAGAAAAAACAGTGCAAAGGCATAATGCTGGAGCTTATATTGGATGTCCTGAAGTGAACTGAGGCAGGGTAGTACCAGAATGAGGTCTGTAGAGTGCTGAATTTGGCTGGGTCAACTGTTAGGACCATATTGAAAAATAAAGACAAAATAAAAGAATGTGGTAGAATTGTAACTCCCTTGAATGCTCCGAAGCTCAGTAGGAGTAGGGCTCCAATTATATTAGCAATGGAGAGGCTAAGTGTGTGGACAGAGGATACAACTCAATGCCGTTTGCCCTTGAGCATGCTGCTTATTCAAAAGAAGGCTAAGAGTCTGTATGATGATTTACAGAAAGATTTGCCTGAGGGGTCTGCTTCTGAGCCTTTTATTGCAAGTAAGGGGTGGTTCGAAAGATTTAAAAGATGCAGAAACTTGCATGATGTTTCTATTCGGGGGAGGCTGCTGGTGCTGACACCCAATCAGCTTCCTGTTATAGAAAGATGCTTGTGGAAATCATTGAGAAGGAAGTTTTATTTCTCAATATGTCTTCAATACTGATGAAACAGGCCTGTTCTGGAAGAGAATGCCTTCTAGGACTTACATTCCCAGGGAGGAGAAGTCAACACCAGGTTTTAAGGTGTCAAAGGATCGACTTATTTTATTGCTTGGTGGTAATGCTGCAAGGACTTTTAAATTGAAACCACTGCTTGTATACCACTCAGAAAAATCCCAGGGCTCTCAAGAGGTATCTTAAAAGCAGTCTGCCAGTCATTGGGAAGTCTAACAAGAACGCCTGGGTGACAATGTCAGTCTTTCAGAGTTGGGTCAGGGATTATTTTTGTCCTGCAGTTGAAAAATATTGTGCTGAGAACAATCTGTGCCACAAGGCACTTCTCATCTTAGACAATGCACCAGGACATCCTACCACACTAGATGACCTCAGTGATAATCTCAAAGTTGTTTTCTTGCCTCCCAATACCACCTTCATTATACAACCAATGGACCAGGGTGTCATTACTGCCTTTAAGGCTTATTACATAAGAAAAACATTCACCCAGGCAGTCAGGGCTACAGACACAGAGGGTGCTTTGACCCTAAAATAATTTTAGAAGGGTTATAATATC